TACCTTTTGAATTTGTCTATCACTATATGTGCCTATCTTAAAATTCCGCTCTCACGTACCTGTAGCATCCTGTGGTCTTGTGGCTGGTAATTTGTCATGCAGTGCTCCACGGTAAGACCAGCACGCCGCGAGAGACCAAATAAAAATCATACTACTATAGCGCCGCCTATGGGCACGGCTGTAAAGGCTATACGCGGCCACTGCATTATACGCAACTTAACTATTCATTATACCACCACCCCCTTCTTCACTTTTGTCAGTAAATGACACCCACAACCCTGATCGTTTTTTACAAAAGACAATGCTGGTGGGGACGCAATGGCTCGTGCCTGTAATCCCCAGCACTTGCGGACGGCAAAGTTGGGACTTGCTCTGAGAACTGGAGTATTGACATCAGCCTCGGGCACGACAAAGTAAGAACCCACTCTATGAAATAAAAACTACAATAGCATAGCCCGCGTGGTGTACGTGACTGTGGTCCCAAAGGGCCCTCCACGGAGAGCTAAGACAGGAGATCACATAAGCTCCAGGAAGTTAGGCTGCAGTGAGCCCACGGTCATTCCACTTGCACCCAGCCTAACACATCAAGATTACGACCTTGTCCAAAAGAAACAAATAAAAATAAAAAGCCAAAACAAAGAGAGAATGCTATTCTATAGTAGCATGTTTTTTCACTTTGCAAGACAATTTAAGCTTGCTACAGTCCGAACTAAATTCTGAGAGAGACCAAACTTCTTAACAATAAGCAACTTCATCTGCTTAAAGTAACCCAAACTAAAAAAGCTGCCAAAGCATTAGCTAGTAACACTGAACCCAGGTAAGTTTAGCGGCTAAGATTTTCTCTGTTCACCCAAATTGTAAAAGCAACAAAACAGGCCGGCGCGCGGTGCTCAAGCCTGAATCCCAGCACTTTGGGACGGCCAGCGGGGTGGCCCTCAACGAGGTCCGGAATCGAGACAGATTCCTGCAACATGTGAAAACACGTTCTACTCGATAAATACAAAAAAAAAAAAACTAGCCCGGCGTGGTGGCGGGCGCCGTCTAGTCCCCACTACCTCGAGGCTGAGGCGCACAATACGCGGAACCCGGGAGCGAGCTTGCTGAGGGAACCCATCTTACTTTTTTTTTTTTTTTTTTTTTTTTTTGAGACAGGGTCTCATTCTGTCACCCAGGCTGGGATGCAGTGGCATGATCATGGCTCACTGCAGTCTCCACCTCCCTGGGCCCAGGTGATCCTCCCACCTCAGCATCCCAAGTAGTTAGTTGGGCCTACAGGCGCATTATCACACCTAGCTAATTTTTGTATATTTTTGTAGAAACAGGGTCTTGCCATGTTGCCCAGGCTGAAAATAGGCAGCAGTGGCATTTTGAAACAATATTCCTATCTTTAGGAAGCGGTAATATTTTTCTTTCCTTTT